GCACATTACACAAACAGAGAAAACATATTTTCAATATTTATGTAGCTAGAGGGCCTACAGTTAATAACTTACTGGGCAGGGACACAGCAGTAGAGATGGGGCTGGTGAAGCGAGTACAGCAGGTGAAGGCAGCAGCCGTCCACATGGGCACGATGAAGACGGAGCCAGTGAAGATTCACCTTCGTGATGACGCTGTGCCACACGCTGTACACACAGCCAGGAGAGTCCCACTGCCACTCCTACCCAAAGTCCAAGCTGAGCTACAACGCATGGAGGAACACGGCGTGATCGTCAAAGTGACACAACCCACAGAATGGTGCGCACCAATGGTGCCAGTCCTGAAGCCGTCAGGTGCCGTCCGAATCTGCGTAGGGCTCCAGAAGCTGAATGAAAATCTGAAGAGAGAAACTTACCAGCTACCTACCACAGATGAGACTCTGGCCAAGCTGGCGGGCTCAACCGTGTTCACATCCCTCGACGCTGCCTCAGGCTTTTGGCAGATACCGCTGCATGAAGAAAGCAGAATCCTAACCACATTCATCACACCTTTTGGGAGGTACTGCTTTACCCGCCTTCCGTTTGGGATAAACATAGCCCCGGAGATATTCCAGCGCAAGATGCACGAGCTGCTCGAGGGCCTGGAAGGAGTCGCCGGGTACATGGATGACGTGATTGTGCATGGAAAAGACAAGGCCACACATGACAGACACTTGCAAAGCACACTTGAAAGGATGAAGCAAGTAGGCCTTAAGCTGAATGAAGAAAAGTGTGTCTACGCACAACCACAGTTACGCTTCCTGGGCCACATCGTGGACGCCAACGGGGTTCAGGCAGACCCAGAGAAGGTGAGCGCCATCAGGGAGTTAGATGCGCCCACCAATGTACATGAACTGAAACGTGCATTAGGCATGATTAATTACATGAGCAAAACATTCCAGACATGGCAACCGTCGCAGGTCCACTGTACGATCTCCTAAAGGGGAAGATGGCCTGGACATGGGATCAGCCACAGCAGCGAGCGTTTCAGCACTTGAAAGAAGCCCTCGTCACATCGCCTGTACTGGCCCACTACGACCCACAGAGACCGACCACAGTGTCAGCGGATGCGAGTAGCTACGGGATGGGAGGAGTCCTGCTCCAGCTGCACGGAGAGAGCTGGAAACCGATAGCGTACTGCTCCAGGAGACTATCAGACGCGGAAACCAGGTACGCGCAAATAGAAAAGGAGTGTTTGGCGGGAGTATGGGCCTGTGAAAGGTTCCAGAAGTACTTGGTAGGCATGGAAAAATTCAGACTCATAACAGATCACAAGCCACTGGTGCCGCTAATAAACAGCAAAGACTTAGACACGGTGCCTGTTAGGTGTCAAAGACTCTTAATGCGGCTTATGCGCTTTAATGCAAAGGCAGAGTATGCACCGGGCAAAACGTTGGTCATAGCCGACGCACTGTCACGCAGCCCGCTGAAAGAGAGACACAGCCCCACAGAAGCGGTCATTGCGTGTCCCGTGAATGCAGTGACCCACAGCTGGCCTGTCTCGCAAAGCAAGCTGGACAGGATCAGGACAGCCACGCAGGAAGACCCACAGCTCCAGCGTGTGAGAAAGCTGATCAGGGATGGATGGCCGAAACGAGTGAGTAGCACTTCACACAGTGTTAGAGACTTCTATGAGATGAGAGACTCACTATCTGAGTGTGAGGGCCTGATCACGCTGGGCTGTCGCATTGTAATTCCTCAGGCCTTGAGAAAGGAGATGATAGACCGTATACACGAGGGACATCAGAGCCTGTCTAAGTGTAGAGAACGTGCTCAAGAGACTGTGTGGTGGCCAAAGATGTCAGGGGACATTAAAAGAAAAATTGACACATGCCACTTTTGTCAGACAAACAGACGCACTCAGCGCAGGGAACAGTTACTGTCAACACCCCTGCCTGAGAGACCTTGGCAAAAGATAGCCACAGACATTTGTGAATACAAAGGAAAACAATACTTGGTGATATCAGACTATTACTCATGGTATCTGGAGATACTACACTTACCTACCACAACTACAGAACAGGTAATGAGGTCAATGAAGGCTACGTTCGCCAGGTTTGGCATCCCTGAGCTGATAGTTAGCGATAACGGACCCCAGTACACCAGTGATGCCTGGAAAGAGTTTTGCAGGCTGTACGACATTGAACATTCCACATCCAGCCCGCACAACCCTCAAGGTAACGGGCATGCAGAGCGCGCTGTGCAAACTGCAAAGCGCATACTCAAGCAGGACGACCCCCTACTGGCTTTGATGAGCTACCGCGCCACCCCAACCACATCCACGGGAGTGAGCCCGGCAGAAATGCTCATGGGGCGTAAGATTCGCACCACACTGCCGTCCCTAAAGAAAAACCTCATTCCAAAGCAGCCGAACCGAGACCTCATCCGTCGCCGAGATGAAGAAGCCAAACAACAACAAGCATTCTACTACAACCGGAGACAAGGCGCGAGGGCCTTACCACCCTTGCACACAGGTGACCACGTCCTGTCCAAGCTGGATGGGGAGAAGGTGTGGAAAGGTCGAGCATCGGTGCAGCAGGAGTGTGGCACGCCACGCTCATACCAGGTGAAGTCACCAGGAGGAGGAGAGGTTAGGAGAAACAGGCGACATCTTCAGAGAGTGCCGCCGCTGATGGAAGAAGAGAAAGCAGACTCTGGGCAGCCAGCCACAGAGCCAGAGAAAGAAACACCACAACATGGCTCTGACCAGGGACTGTGTGAGAGTAAGGTTGATAGTCCTAAAGTAACACCACAAGGACTGACAGTGACCAGGTTTGGTAGAGTTAGTAGACCTGTGAAAAGGATGGACATTTAGTTAAGTAACTCAGAGAACAGAGAATCTAAGTTTATTAAGAATTTAAGTTAAGTTTGAGTTATGATTTACATTCTGGAGTAGTCTGAGAAATACAGCGTTTGAAAGTTAAATATGTAAAAGGCAGGAAAGGAAAGAAGTAATTCTTTAAGTTGTTTAGACCAACAGGAAATATGGTTTAATAACAATAAGTTTAATGTTGTGACCCCATGTTATAGAAGTATAATAATTTGAGGGGGAGATGTCAAGGTATCAGTAGTGTAAGTGGTGCATTACGTCATTATACTATATACAGGAAGTAACGCGAGAGTTCGCGAGACAGACGAGAGCTATAACATGTAAGTTCATGGTTATGTGTGTGTGAATAAAACCCTGACGACGAGTCGAGTTCAGTAAGCTGTGTCGGCCAACAGTTTATTTGACACTCACTAACAGAAACTTTAACAGAGATGTTTGCTGACAAAGGTGTTACTATGTTTTGCAGCTGTACAAGCTCTCATACTGCATACAAGGTAGGTAAAAATAGCTTAAAGCCTGTGTGGAGGTAAAATATGTGGGTTTGGAAACTATTGTTCTTCAGCACTTGCTAAGAACCCCTGTGTCTGAGTATTCTTTTTTATGGTGACTTCTTTGATAGGAGCTGGGGGTAAGGCGCTCCTTAATATTTTCACCAGTGTGTTTCTACCCCAAGAGATTTCTGCTGGCTATAGTGGGTAGCTGGCCTAAAGGAGCACTTGACTCCCAGCAGCCCCAGTGACACTCGATCACCAACAGAACAGGCCTGTGGTTGTACAGGGCAGCTCCCTTGTGAAAATATGTGGTGACTGGGAGGCACAGCATAGAAAAACGTCCCAGTTCAGTAATCCCAACCTGTGTTCAGTGCTATTTCAAGAATGAAATAACTATTAGGAGAAATACTTTTACAGTTTTAGATCTAGTAAAACAGAGAGAAATGATGTTCCACCTTCATCGAATATGAAAAAGAAATTAATCTGGTTGCTGTAAGAAAGAAAATTGTAATCAGACAATGAGCTGGATGCCAGACAAAACATCGATTTCAAAGCATCTCTCTAAGCAGCCTCAGAGGCGCAAAGCATATCCACCTTTTGATATTGACCCTGCCTCTAACAAATATGGCTATATTTATATCGTTGTTTTTACCGAGACAATGTACAGCTTTTCTTTGGATGGATATTGGATCATACACACATGCTTACCTCCAAACTCAATACTCATTCTCCTGCAACTAGTGCTTTATCTTCGAAGTAAATATTTATGTGCTGTTTGGGACCAAGTAAATAAAAAAAGGGAGAAAAAAAATCACTCAAAACTAAATCGCCTTGCATCAAAAATCAATGATAAAATGGGGGCACTGGCGCTGTTTTCTAGGTCAAATTTGAATATATATTTTTTGAGATATTGATTGGTGTAATGTGACTCATTCTTTGTAATTAAAGGAAACAAATATTGGGAACGAGGAGTAGGGGCTATCTGTATCATGATGCAATTTCAGTCTTTGTAGCTGTGTGTATTTATTAGGACCTCTACTGCAAATAAATAAGAAGTTGTGTTAAAGAGGAGGAGGTGGACCTAAACCTTAAGTGAGATTTATACTATTTAATATTGGGTGTTTGTTTGGTAGCCATTGGATTAGAACTAGTATTTATTTGTTTAGGGTGAGGCAAAAAAAAAATTCGAAGGATAAATTTAACTCAGAGCCTGCCGAGCTGTTCCATCCAAACTGTAAGCCATCAGCTCAGATATACTCTTTAATCTCTTTCAAGTGATTTACAATTAAAGCAGAAAAATGTATCTCAACAGCTTTGTTTATTTGGTTTCTAATACCAGACTTTGTTATCAAATTTATCTGGGTACAGGGACTGGATTGTACACTGTAAAATCCAATTAGTTATTGTTACTTTGAAAAAAATTTGCAAACCAGTTGCATAAAAGAATAGGTTCAGAGAACTAGGTAGTTTAAGTTGTGCAACCCAGTTCTTTCTTTGTATAATAAACTTATTTATTAAAGCAGTTAAAATAATCAGATACTCTGTAAAGTTTAAATAGTTTTCAACACCTGAAAAAAAGGAATTGCAATTAAAATAAAAACAGAGACCCGGGCATTTCCAGTTGTGCAAACTAGAGCTTTATTTATTGAATATATTTATACATAAGTTTAAGCAAACAAGATAATGAAATAGTATTTACTTACAGTAATTGCTTACTTTAGATGTACATAATAAATGAAGGTAACAACACAGTTTGATTAAGTTATATTTCTTTGATTCATTACCTTTAAATATCATATTTTATGAAATCAAGTAACAGCATACACTTACATCAATGATACAGTAAACAGATTAAAACTATTTTGCTCTCATCAATATTTCTTAATTTAAGCAATAAAGAAGTATGTATCAAAAAAAAATATGCAGAAATCTGTTTTCCAGGACTTCACAAAAGTACAAATGAAATGTCAAGCATATTACAGTCCAAACAAGAGACAGGTTATGGGAATCATTCAGCACTATACATCGCTCAACAATGAGGCCAGGAGACACAACATGGACAACAGACAGAGAGTTGTGCTAATAACTCATCAGTGTTAACAACCCTGTGCGGAAATCGCATAAAAACATGGACATGTTTTAAACTAACAATTCAAAATTGTCCCTTGTCCCTTTTATCTTCCCATGAGTCACTTTTTTTTCATCTCACCGAGAAAGTGGTAAATAAAGATCAAATGTTCCCAGGTGGTCTTCTGAGCATTCTCGCAGCAGATTATCAGTCACTGGAGTAGACCAGGTCGTCCAGATAGTATGTTGTGCATATCCCCATCTCATTTGGTTTCTAGAAGTAGAAAATTAAGAAATTAAACTACATTCAAATGTTGAATCTACACTATATTGCCAAAAGTATTTGCTCACCCATCCAAATTATTGGAATCAGGTGTTCCAATCACTTCCATGGCCACAGGTGTATAAATTCAAGCACCTAGGCATGCAGACTGTTTTTACAAACATTTGTGAAAGAATGGGTCGCTCTCAGGAGCTCAGTGAATTCCAGCGTGGAACTGTGATAGGATGCCACCTGTGCAACAAATCCAGTCGTGAAATTTCCTCGCTCCTAAATATTCCACAGTCAACTGTCAGCTGTATTATAAGAAAATGGAAGTGTTTGGGAACGACAGCAACTCAGCCACGAAGTGGTAGGCCACGTAAACTGACGGAGCGGGGTCAGCGGATGCTGACGCGCATAGTGCGAAGAGGTCGCCAACTTTCTGCAGAGTCAATCACTACAGACCTCCAAACTTCATGTGGCCTTCAGATTAGCTCAAGAACAGTGCGCAGAGAGCTTCATGGAATGGGTTTCCATGGTCGAGCAGCTGCATCCAAGCCATACATCACCAAGTGCAATGCAAAGCGTCGGATGCGGTGGTGTAAAGCACGCCGCCACTGGACTCTAGAGCAGTGGAGACGCGTTCTCTGGAGTGACGAATCGCGCTTCTCCATCTGGCAATCGGATGGACGGGTCTGGGTTTGGCGGTTGCCAGGAGAACGGTACTTGTCTGACTGCATTGTGCCAAGTGTAAAGTTTGGTGGAGGGGGGATTATGGTGTGAGGTTGTTTTTCAGGAGCTGGGCTTGGCCCCTTAGTTCCAGTGAAAGGAACTCTGAATGCTTCAGCATACCAAGACATTTTGGACAATTCCATGCTCCCAACTTTGTGGGAACAGTTTGGAGCTGGCCCCTTCCTCTTCCAACATGACTGTGCACCAGTGCACAAAGCAAGGTCCATAAAGACATGGATGACAGAGTCTGGTGTGGATGAACTTGACTGGCCTGCACAGAGTCCTGACCTCAACCCGATAGAACACCTTTGGGATGAATTAGAGCGGAGACTGAGAGCCAGGCCTTCTCGTCCAACATCAGTGTGCGACCTCACAAATGCGCTTCTGGAAGAATGGTCAAAAATTCCCATAAACACACTCCTAAACCTTGTGGACAGCCTTCCCAGAAGAGTTGAAGCTGTTCTAGCTGCAAAGGGTGGACCGACGTCATATTGAACCCTATGGATTAGGAACGGGATGTCACTTAAGCTCATATGTGAGTCAAGGCAGGTGAGCAAATACTTTTGGCAATATAGTGTATATCTAAATGTTATGTCTGAATGTACATGTAAAATTCATTACTTAATCCTAGATCTATTTATAAAATGTTATTTTTCTATGTGAATCTATATTTCATATCTGTGAAATAAAGGGGAGTGGGTGATAAACATATCTTTATAAGATTTAGATCTGAGATTTAAGATTTAGGATATTTAGATGTAAGATTTAGAAAGTAGACATGAATTGAGCTCTAGATATAAGATATAAACTAATATAAAAATATATGATATATAGGATATTTGAGGTATGAATATAGCTTTTGAAATATATTTCACTAAATCTACTTACAAGAAGCACTAAATGTAAATGAAATGTATTCTAATATGACATTAATAATTATTTATAGTTACTTTTCGTATTTCAAAAGATTGAAAACTTTAAAAAAGAAAAAAAAACTTTAAGGAAAGTATGATGTGACATGTCTGATTTATTTTCATCTTAAAGTGCCTTTATTTAGATTTTTTTTCCAACCCACTTTTTTTTTTTTTTTCATATTCTAATGTGTATTTTTTTAATCCTCATCAATTGAGATATAGTATGTCTCGTACACATTTGACATTCTTTTTTAAATTTTACTCATTTGTTGAATAAATTAGGGAAATTTAAAACAAAGGCAGTTCCTGCGCCTGTGTTAAAAAAACATGTTTTCATGCTTAATTACCAAAATAGTTTATATTTTACTGTAAATGTTATTACAAAAGGTTTTGTTGTTGCAGATACAAAAATATTTTTTAGCATTAGCAATGCAAAAGCAAGAATGGTCCCTATCCATGTCTGCCTTACCATGTAGGGTGCAAGTCCCAATCGTTACAATTTAGCATACTTTGTAAACTGTGCATCCAAAACCCTTCATTGCACCTACTGTACTCCAGGCGCACACTTCATTGCAGTGAATAGGATTTAGCGCTAGTATTGAGACAAGGCCGCTAAGCTGCGCATAAACAGTTGCCTACTTCCTCTTCCTCTAATGGTCAGAGGGAGTGACTTGTTCATTGGATTTATTGACCGTTGACAAACAACTTTTATTTGTGCATTACTGCCACTTCTGAACTGCAGTGTGTTTGGAGTGACTTATTGTTGCTTTAATTTTAGTGTGTGAATAAGATCCTCTCATCAATTTCTTGTGCAGCTGAGGTGCCAATAAAACTACATTTTTGCTTTTCATCTAGTAAGACTGAACACTGAATTTTTTTGACATTTTATCACATTACAACCATTATTGATGGTGTAATATTTTTCGGAATATATCAAAATCAAGTAGCAAAAAATTGTGAGCTGTAATACAATAAAAAAAAGAGTAGAACAGAAATACTTTCATTGCCTCCCAGTGAGAAAATTCTGGTGTGACAGGGACAAAAACTAGTAGAGAGAAGAAAGCTTACAGGTACACACAAGACTAAATAGTTTAAAGAAAGTAATTTTAAAAGTTAAGCTTTTGAAGTTAAGCAGTTGAAAAATAACAGGAAGAAAAAAATAGTGAGTGGTAATAAGAAAGGCATATTCTGGTAAAAATTAGATATGTTCAAGTTAAAAAGAAAAGAAAAAGAAATTTGGGAAGAGCGATAAAGCATGGGTTTAGTAAAACCTTGCATGAAATATGACTGTTGAAACAAAACCTCCCACCTAGGCATTCATGTACAAAAAAATCATACTGAATAGATTAGGAACTGCAATATGGAAAGCATCAATTAAATGTTTTTCCTGACCAGTTTGAAAACCTATACACACTTGTGAGTGATGTTATTAGTTGACTACAAACCAGTTCAAGTGCTAGGTAGAAGCAATTACTGCATAGATATGCCATTAACTCCCTCAGCTGAATCAAGACAAAACTGAAGTGACAAATTTTGGTCCAAAAACAGAGTGTTCCAAACTGAGCATACAGCCTCAATTAATGGAGCTAGAAAACAGCAATCAGTTTCAACTTTTAGATATGCCTTTGGTTCAACACACCTGAATCAAGTAATCAGATAATTGGGAGGACTCTGCAGGAACCGACTGCATACTGAGGAGGTAACTCAGCCATTTGATTCAGGTGTGTTGGACCAAGGATGGATCTAAAAGTTGCAGGATACCGGCCCCCAGGAACTGGAATTGCCCACCCCTGATCTAGAGGCACATAATGACAGTAACAAAGTTCTCTTACTATCACCTAAAGTCCATCTACAGGATTAAAGGACTAATGTCTCAGCACCACACTCAAAAACTAATTCTGCTCTCATCTTCAGTAGAATCAATTACTGCTACTGTGTCTGCACAGGTCTGCCTAAAAACTTGCAGCTTATCCTGAATGATGCTACCCGGCCATCCTCTGTTTTTTTCTGCATCTATCCTGTAACTTTCTCATTGAAGGAGCTCTGCATTGCTTCCATAAATAGATTGTTAGACATACTTTTTTTTTAACTGCCCTTTGTCTTTTACCCCTTGCCCTGGGTCCAAGTGACATAAAGGGGTGGACTGCCCTTTTTAGTTATGTTATCCAGCGGCTTCCCCCCAGCTACAGATAAGCTGCTGCCTAAACTGCCACACCATAAAAGATGGCTAATGCGACCACATAATCAGAAAGGTTGTGTATGAGCATCCCCTGCAATCCAAAATTTCCCAGTCAGATAAGGTGTGATCTGACCCTTTCCACAAAGAGGGTTATTACTCCAGTCCAGTTTATAGTTAAGGTGTACACCAAGATACTTAAAACTCACCTATCTCAACAATAGCTCCCTAGATGTCCACCAGTATCAGTGCGGTGGCTCTGCGCCAGCTTATTAAATAAATACTTTTAAGTCACATGGTCCATCAGTTTCCCCGTCTGCTTCTTTACGTGCAATCTGTGAACTACATTACTGCCCAGTTAAGTTCTCGATATTATTCCACAGTGTTGATACTGTGAAATGAAGTTCATCTTGTGTTTATGCGACCTCACTTACTGTTGGTGTCGGGTCTTTCTGTCCTTTAGCCCTTGTGTCATCTTCCTCCCCTGTCTCAGAGCCATCCCAGCCTGTTTGAAGTGGCTATTAGCCAGAAATCAAAGCCTCCCATCAAGCCCATCTCAGCCCTGTGCCCTTTTAGAATATTCACCAACGGTCTCCTGGCCTTTTGTGAGCCCCGTGGAATAAAAATAATCAAAATCAGAATGGACCTTCATGTGCAATAATACTCTGTCTACTCTTATGGCCTCCACTGTCAACGCCATTTATTATTCATGCACCCATACTGATGGGTCCAGGGCACGTTCAAGAGGTCTGCTTCTCACTGTTCCAGCACTGTTCATCAATAGCTGCCAGCCAGGTAGGGGACTTTATTATTGAACAGTGGCCATGCTAGTTTGATGCAGACACTGTTCTATGATTATTAGAACTTCAAAAACTTTTCACTCTCTCCATCCCTTCCTCCATTTGAAAAGGCCTCCCTCTTCCTCTTTTCTCTGTTGTTAATTTAAACACTGTCTGTTTCATCCTTCCCAATAGGTGTCTGTTTTACAATAAAAGGTCATCCTCATTTGTCCGCTGACACAAAAGAGACCACCGTTGGAGCTGAGGTCAAACAATCCGACAGAAAAATAGACAGAGAGGTGGACAGCGTGGTAGCTGGTGCTTCATGCAGGTGCTCCAAATTCAGGGAAGAGGAGAAGGGAAAGGGAGAGAAGAAGTTAAGATAGATGTTGTGACTGCATAAGAGAGATACAAGAAGTGAGAGCTTTGAAAGGTGGAGGGAGTGGTGGTCACTGGGAATAGGGAGGGTGGGCAAAAGAGGACAGATAACTAATCATGCCATCACCTTCCGCTCTTCTTCCTCCTCCTCTCTACTCCTTCTTCACCTTCTCTCTGTTCCTCTGTAGGGATGATTGACGAGGGCACGGTGGACTGAGGTTGTCCTAGTGCCCAGATTAGAAAGCCCTCAAACAAATGAAGCCTGGAAATGATGCCCTAGGGAGCTGGGAGCAATGGGGGAGACACATAGGAAACACGGCCTAGCCCAAAGAGACATAAAGAGAAGGGATCCAAAACAAGTAAGGAATATGAAAGTAGAGGATAGATATGGTATGTTTCTCTAGGTTTGCAGGTGTTGCTATAGGAGGTGAAACAGGAGCTGGAAAGAAACCCACAAGATAAGTGTGATATCATTACAAAAAAAAAAATGACAGGTGGAAAACTAGAGCGTAGAGACAATTAAATGTGTAAGGTGATTCAGAAGAAGGAATGAAGTTACTTTAATTACAAAACCCAAAGGGAGAAATAAAGGCTCAATCAAGAAGGACAGGGAGTGATGGAAAAAAGGGAAGGTGAAAGGACAGTGACAGAAAAAGGGGACTGTCAACCACATCTCTGTGCAGCTGTTCTTGTCTTTCTAAGAGTGCACCGTAACAGATCGTTTCCCTATGCTCCTCTGCAGATTGATACGGAACATTAATCAAAAACTAAATATTACCCAGCTCTCTTATGGAAAAGCACAAATGGACAACCTGCAGCACCCCCCACCCCCTCCCTATCCATTTCACCTCTTGGAAAAACTGTCATTCTCACCCAATACCTATTTTTTTAGGATTTGAATATTAGTTGAAGAAAGATGAAAAAAAAAACATTAAAAAACACGAGGAAGAGGTGATATATGGCCAGATATTAGGGAAAAGTTTGATTTTATAGGTGTCACATGACCCTAGCATGAGTGACCTCCATTTTCCCCAAATGGCGCAGGTCCAGCGTTTTAATGGAGTCTCCTTCAGCCATATATCAGCACAGCTTGTCTCGTAAAATTCTGCTGGGGCCGACCTCACAAACCAACTCCACCTTTATCGTGACACATACAGAGCTTTTCATGAGCAGAAAATATATATATTAACAGGGAATGGTTTTAATATAGTCAGTGGGTGGAAACAGAAAGGACGAGGAAGGTGCTCGAGATTTCACCTGTTTCTGTTTGTTTTACAATGTATCCATTGTGCCAGAAGGGCGACAGTGGCGTTGGATGTAGGAGTTTGCCCTGTAATCGGAGGGTTGACGGTTCAAGCCCCGACTCCGACTTTCATTGTCGTTGTGTCCTTGGGCAAGACACTTCACCTGCATTGTCTACTGATGGTGGTCAGAGGGCCCGGTGGCGCCAGTGTACGGCAGCCTCGCTTCTGTCAGTGTGCCCCAGGGCAGCTGTGGCTACAATGTAGCTTGCCACCATCAGTGTGTGAGTGTGTGTGTGAATGGGTGAATGAATGTAGTGTAAAGCGCTTTGGTCAAGTCTCCTAACTTGAATAAGGGCGCTATATAAGTACATGCCATTTACCATTTGTGTTTCCTTTGTCAACAGTTGTCTCTCCCAACCTTCTTGTTTCATTTCTCTTTTTCGGTCTCAATCTCCGCTTATTCCCTCTCCTCCGTCCTCTCAAATCTTCTGCGTATGTCTGTTGAGTGTCACAGTGTTACAGCCAGCCGACATGACACTTTTTAAAGTTTTGTGAGGAGGCTGACAAAGCACAGATAAGATTAACCTAGCAGGCTGCCATAGCACCTGTCCCTCTAGTCTTTCTTTGCTTTAAAAATAAGGCCACAGAAAATATAAAGTATGATGGTCGTACAAATAACAGGGATATTGAAGCATTTTAACCTTGCTTATTGAGCAGAAATAATAAGGAAAAACACAAATATGCAGATAATCACACAGAACATCAGAGCATTGTATACATTTTTTTTGAGAAAGCTTCTTAAAAAATGTAAGTTATGAATAAGAGGAGCCTTTATCTTTTAAATGATCTTTCTTCAAACATCTCAAGGTTTTTTCAATCATATATATACAATGCTTTCTGTTTAAGAAAAACATTACAGGAATTTCCTTTACTTTTTATCAACTTACATTTGAGGATAAATAAGCCTTAAAAAATTATCTGTGTTCATCATGTATTTTCTGTAGAATCAAAAATATTTAATAGGATGCTTCTGCACTCCTTAATATTAGTCTTCGACTGAAATTACACTTTTCCTATTGAAAATAGACTTAACTAAATACACCAAAATAAAAAATAAAAATTGTGAAATGGAAAATTTGCTGCATATTTAATTCAGTTTTCAATTAGGTTTATTTATATAGCACCACACATGCAATCTAAAGGCACCTTAACCCTTTAAAGCCCGATCCAAGAAAAAAACAATAGATAGACAATAGTAAATTACTTTTTTTCGGTTTGAATTCCTTATTTGCCCTTCTAACGAAATTTGTAAAAATAAATTATGCAAAAGGTGTCAGATGCAAAACATTTCAGAAACGATACATTTGGCATTATAGGGTTAAAGAGACAATTCAACCACATTATACAGTCAAACTTATTCAAAGTTTTCTGTCTAAGGAAATCAGTTGGTTACATCAATCCATTGACTCGAAGGCAATCCAAGCATGCATGTAGCAACAGTGGAGAGTAAAAACTCCCTATTAACAGGGAGAAACCTCCAGCAGAACCACTGTCAGTGTGAGCGGCCATCTGCCATGGTCAACTGGGGTTGACCATGGCAGATGTTTTTTTTTTTTTTTTTTATTACGAAAACCAACAAAAACATGTTTCAGATTTAGACAAGAGAACCAACCTTTTCTCCCCATGGATCAACAACTGAAAAAAAAATCTCTTAGAGCTGCATCTTAGAGTATGACATACTTATGAAATCATTGCTTCAATGTACTACAAAACATCCACATTGTAGTACTGTATGTATACAGGCCCTTTGGCGGTGCTATGCACTACACATGAGAACGGTGGCAAAAAAAATCAGGCATGCCCAGACAACGTATGTGAATTAGACATTGAAACAAAATGATAGAGGCGCATGTAGGTTAGAGAGAAAGACAGACATTAGACACCATCCTTCAAAAATTGACCTGGCTCACATACATATGGAAAGCACTGCTTTTAAATTTCTTCATTTTGTCACCCTATTTCAAATACTTCTTTTTGCAGTCTCCCAAAATGCTACATCCGTGTGGGTGCAGTGCAACACTAAAATACCTTTTTCAAAGATAAAATATTACACATTTGATCATATCTGTCTGTTTTCCTCTGTAGCTGAGAACCAACCTTGGCATCCACTTTGCCGTAGTATGAACTATCATAGGTGAAAGAGAGGGATTTCCAACAGAAAATAACCACCTAGGTGACATACAGAGCACTGAATAGTTAAACAGAATTTGAGAATGAAAAGTACACTAAGACTGATAATTTAGACTCAGATTTATTGTCATTTTGTATACACAGAGTGTATACAAAACGTAATTTTGTGTGGTACAGCTCTCATGATATTTCTATTTCTTTAAGTGCAGCAGTGATAAAATGTAAAGTTATTTAGTTATATTATAATTGATGTATTCAAATCATTTTAGGAATCTGTTACACCTAGTGTTGGTAAGATAAGCCAAACTTATCTTTTTTTATAATATATAGATGTACAAATGGTACAATGGTTAACTGCTTTGAAAAATGACTATTTAAAACTTCGGTACATCCTGATAAGAATGATAAACCTATAAACAAATGTCGTGTAAGGTCTTGTTTCACGCAGATGCCTGTTTCTTTTATTTTAATTTTATTACCTAATAAGACTGTTAATGTCCTTATCCATTTTCATATTCTACAAATGACAGTACATTTTCATAATGTCTGTATATTCTCATCATAGCCATGGAGTGGTGTAGAATTGCCAAGCTGAAAGAACATTGCATATGATAGATGTAATTGTATTGTTTTGAAGAATCACATAATTAGACAATAGAGTTCTCCTGGGTAAAATTAATAACGGTATACAGCAAATCCAGTTGTTCTGTGAAGAACTAAAATATGTGTTTGAGAATATTGATAAAAAAACAACATGATGAAAAACAAGAATAGAAACAGACATGTCAGGTAGAAAGTTGTGGAGAAGGTGAAAGCAAGAATAGGCTATAAAACAATACCTCCATCTTTGGGAACTATCATCCATCTGGAGGTTTTAAAGAATATGGAACAGTTGCAAATCTGTAAAGAGAGAAAACCGAAAATGAATTAGGGAAACATATTACGAGGGATCCATGGTAGCTAAGTGACCTGCAGATATTTGTAGTTTAGGTGAGATTATTTATAAAAATAATAAGTTTTTCACTCCACAAATGTGGCTTTCTTGGAAAGGGAAAACATAGTTGTATTACTAAATAAAAAAATAAATTTTGCTACAAAACACAGAAAATCTCTGAAGAGATGAGACCAAAATTAACCTACACATACGATGCTATTTGTTGCAGAAAATATGCTAAAGTTATGTTGCCAATAAGGAATCGTACTGGTGGCAGCATAATGCTAAGGTTAGGCAGAGAGGGGAGTTGATAAGAAGCTACTGTAGATACTCAATAATCAGAAACCTATTGGATGCAGAAAGTACAATTTAAAGTTTTGTACTTTCTTCTGCCCAAGACAACTATCACAGTGACACAGACACAGGGAGGAAAGCAATCCTAGCAATGATAGCTTTGTGACGGAGCGGTTGTATGAGGATTTCTCTCAGCTCTCTTCACCAGAGACAGAGAGAGTGAGGGAAGGAGAGGAAGGTTCTATGGAGGAGACTGGCAGCCCTGAGATATACCAATTTGAGCTGCTGACTCAGAGATTCTGTTTGGCTCCTACCTTCTACCACGTATGCTGGTTATCATGGGAAATGTCAATAAATATCCAAAACAAACTCTCTTGATAAACAGAAATCAATGACTTTCATGTCTTATGACCCACTCTCACAAAATTAATGCAAAATCATTATTTTAGACTAGAAAGATGAGGCACAATCCATTTTGTCCAGTTCTAATGCAGTTTAGATATTTTAATAATTTTTCTCTTCAACATGTATGTTGTTAAAGTAAATTTTAGGTTATGTGACATACTGATAAAAAAAACTAATATCAAATCATTATACTAGACTGGACAGACAAAAGAGACATGTTTTTAATAAAAAAAATGATGCATTTACTATTTTTATTAACTTTTATGACAGAAATCCTAATTTATATTAATTTTCAATTGTAAGAAATCATTTTATTGTAGTTCTCCAAGTAAACCACATGTAGGAGAAGAGAGTCAGCAAAGACAAGCTGCCCAGGCTAGAGCAACTGAAGTCAGTTTTTCCAAGTAACATCACATCTCTGAGAAAAAAATGGCTAAGCCAACAGAAAAAAAATCCAATATGGTAGCCCCTTTTAAAGGAAAAGTCCTGTCATATTCAGAAGTCAAACTTCTGAAAGTACTTTAAATATAGATTATTACATACTGTTCAATAAGTGTTAAGTGTTTTTAATTAAGAGTAATTTCATTTGAATGTACTTTAATGAAGACATCCATGTTTGTCAAAGAGCACTACTGCCACATACTAGTTTGTGACGTCACGGTGCGGTATCGGTTGTTGTTCAAGTTCCAGCGCTGTATCTGGTGTTTGTCACAATGCGCTATCATCCAAGCCATCTTGAAAACATTCTTCTTCGATATGTTTTTTTCTCTGGCCAGAAGTTCAACGGAAAGTTCTTCCTCTTCAAGTTGGCAATCCAACAACGACCCCGTCCGTGGAGGATCATGAATCGGCAAGGTGAAATAAAATGTTTTTTTTTCACTTTGACCTGATGTATTTATTACAACATCAAACTGTCATGCACGTGGGCATTGTCAGTTTAATTATAGCTCTCATGAAGTTCAATGGTGAAGTCCTCTCGAAATCTTAAATAATTGTTGTTTATTGCAGGGGTGTCTAGTAGTTCCTATTGAGTTTGTTTTTAAAGCGGGGAGAATGACGCTAGGCTTACCACATCGTGACGTCACTGCCGGAAGATGTCAGGAGTGAAGCATTACCATAGTTGGGCAAAAATGGCTGCTCCCAGACTATGTGATCGCAATTTTTTATTTTTTTTTACTGATTAATACTCAGTTCATGAAATCACTGTGAA